TTCACAAAATACTTTAAGAATTCGTAAATCTGGGAGTACTGTACAAGGTTATTCCATATCGATATACAAAAATAAATTAAACGAAAAGTATATATATAATAATAGTCTTGTATTTTTTATTTAATTTTTATTTTATTTTTTATTCCCATTAAAATTTACGATATTGTATAAAATGGAAGAGAATACAGTTATTTTAATTAAATATGATTCATGTGGATCTTTCGCCAGTGTAAAAAAGAATGTTGAAGTGCAAGCTTACATTGATGGCCATGATTACTTTCAGGCTATCGAGAGAGCTATTTGTGAAGCAAAAAAAGAAATCTTGATTATGGGATGGTGGCTTTCTCCTGAACTTGTAAATTTTTTTAATCACATAAGTAACTCGATAATTATAAATATTGAAGCCTTGAGAAAATTTTTACATATATTTTTAAATTTGATGTAGTATCTCTTAAGACCTTGCGATAAAGATGAAGAAAGTCTTCGTCTTCATTCTCTTCTTAAGAAGAAGGCTGATGATGGAATCAAGATTTTTATTATACTCCATCAAGAGCAACCAGAATATTTTAAAATAGATTCTCAACATAGTGAAGAAATGTTACAACACGATAATATTTTTGGTAATTGTAATAGAATTTATAGAATAATATGTAAATTATTTTTGAAATGTGTAATATACAAAATTATTTGAATGTTTCGTAATTCAAATAGTTCTGAGGCATTCTTCTGGTAACATTGCATCAGTCGCCTTCGATAATTTGATGAATATTTTCGATTTGAGTATTCCCAACGTTGATAGCATGAACTTGGCTTGGTATGTAAGTATATGTGCTTTTAATAATTAATGTCAAAGTTTCTTATTAAATGGATCATTATCAATTTTTTTCACTTAATAGCACCATGAAGTATGAGTTTTGATTCTTGCAAATGAATTTTATGAATTTGAAGATAATTTTAAGAAATAATAATTTGTACATTCAATACTTATCATCCAGAAAGTTGTAGTTATCGATCAATATGAAGCATTTATCGGTGGTATAGATTTGTGCTTTGGTCGCTACGATACTAAGGAACATACTCTCACTGAAGCTTCTAAAACTTATAAGAGTAATGAAGTTTGGCCTGGAAAAGATTATACCAATCCCAGAATTAAAGATCTTGAGTTTGGTATGATAAAAATTTACAAAAGGGCTATTATTCTGGATTATATCAAAGATATCTACCAAATAATTATTAGATCACAGTTGTTTAGCTATAATTAACCATATTCTTAGATATCAACGCACATTAAATTAATTGAATTGTTGAAATTTGTAGTACGTGTATGGAAAGAGTCTTTGATTAAAAAGTCAAAAGACGCAAGAATGCCATGGCATGATGTTTCCATCTCTTTTGTACGTTCTTGAAATATACATGTTTTAAGAATTTTTAAAAGCTAGTACTTCTTATTAATTGAAATTTTCAGAAAGGAAAATGCGTGCTGGATCTCGTCTCACATTTTAATCAACGATGGGAGTTCATTAAAGGAAAACAGATTGCCATTTTCACTCCAGAAATTAAACCTTCGCCAGATCAGATTTCTGAACTTGAGATCGACTTCGACAATCTTGGTACTTGTAATGTCCAAATTCTTCGAAGTTGCGGAAACTGGAGCGATGGCATTGATCTTGAGGTGATTTTAAATTTTCTAGACTTTTGTCGGTTAATCTTCTAAATCAAACGCTTAAATCATGCATTGCTAATAAATGCCTTAATAGAAATCTATACAAAATGCTTATATTGACATGATTCACAAAGCGGAACATTTTATTTACATTGAAAATCAAATTTTTCGTATGTACTTATTTTATTTTTCGAATTTCTTACGTACTTTTAGGTACAAACTTTTTAAATATTTTTTCAGTTACATCTACTAAAAAAGAACACGATAAACACGCTAAAAATCTGATCGGAGAGGTAATTTAATTCTATATATATAAGTAAAGTATATATAAAAAATTCATGTAATGAGATAAATAATGAGATAAATAATGATTAGGCGATCGCTGCTCGTATTAAAAGAGCAATTGAAGAAGAAAAAGAAGACAGCCGATTTAGGACAATTATAATATTACCTTTACTCCCAGAAATACCGGGTGATCTGGACTCCACTAACCTACAATTATGGTAAGCAGTAAATTTAGGTTTCAAAACTCTTACGTATGTAAATTGTTAAAATCTAACATATACAAGTCAAATTGTTCGTTATCAATATCAATCTATTCGAGGGTTGATGAGTACTATTTCAGACATTTGCAAGGAAAAGGGAAAACTACCAGAAGATTACATTACATTTTATGGACTTCGTAATTGGGGTATTATTGGAAAAAATAAACAAGATTTATTCAATTCAGAGAATTTCAAAGACATCTCTACTAAAGATATTGTCACTGAACAAGTGTATGTTCATTCTAACATCATGATAGTTGATGACAGGAAAGTAATTTGTGGTTCAGGTGAGTCCTTTTACTTTTTAATAAACTCGATTTTCCTCACATTTGAATAGTAAAATTTTTAATTGACTAAATTCATATTCAGCAAATTTGAATGACAGATCAATGATTGGTGATTGTGATTCCGAAATTGCCGCTATAATAGAAGATACGCAAATGGTTGATTCTAAAATGAATGGCAAATTGGTAATAAAAATTTTCGGTCATAATATTATCATAAATAATTCTATACATTATCGTTATCCTAAAAAAAAATTATTTTAGTGGAAGGCGAGTAATTTTGCTTACACCCTTCGAAAAAAACTCTTTATGGAACATATCGGTCTATCTGATGATAAAGATCATTTGGTGGTAGATCCTATATGTGATTCCTTTTACAAAAATATATGGCTCAATAAAGCCAAATATAATACTAAAATTTTTAGAAATATTTTTCATTGTATTCCGGACGATAATGGTAAATTTTTTTTTTATTTATTATTTTTCTTTTTATTAAAAAGCTAATTATGTATACCTAAATTATTTTACAGTTTTAAGTTGGAAGGCTTGTAAAGAGTTTGTTTCCAAATCAAATCCAGGTCATATGTGTTCTAATCACTCAATCGGCGAAGTAGCAGAACAGCTTGCAAGAGTTTATGGTCATTTAGTACAATTCCCTTTGCAATTTATGAAAAGAGAAAAGTTTTTTGATTAGTATGAAAAAAAAAAAGCAGTAATTTTTTTTTTTTTTTTATTGCACGTTCGAATAATCTTAAAAACTTTTGACCCGCTTAATTATGAACAAAAAGGTTGTGATCGTTAAATAAGATTAAAGACTATTTGAATTAGTCAATCACACGTTTAATTAATAAAGTATCGTTATTTACCAATTTTTGCGCAATACTGTACATGTAACATTAAAAAAGCGGTTGCTCTTTAAAATACTCATTTGATAAAAGCTCTGGCTGGTCCAATTTGGATTTCTGTTTAACATAACCCTACCTCCCTCTTACAAGACATCGTTACCTAAGTAAATCGATAATTGGGAGTTTCTATCTCGAACTTTTTTTGATTAGATTCATGATCGTCAGTAGATTCACAGATTCATAATATTTGAACCATCAATAGCAATAGTTACAAATTCCATAATTTGAACTAATCAAAGGATAAGTACACGTAAAAGGTAATAATTTGAAATTGCTTAAAAATATTATAACCTACGTATTAATGTTGATTATTTACTAACAATTGCTTTTAAACGCTAAATCGAATAGATGTAATAATTTACAGGAGATACAATTTTGAAATTTGGTAATCATTTTATCTGTAAATAACATATTAACTATTTCGAAAATTTTGCTTAATTGCTCAGTAGAACCTATATTTCAAACTAAAAGAGCGTTTTTTTAAAAATTTTTTATTTTAATTTATAAAAATAATCTATTTGTCGCGGGTGTGGTGGTATCCGGTTTATAGTGGTATTATGCAAGAAATATTTTTTGTTAATAACAAATAATTTACAATAATTTACGTGATCGTTACAGGACTATACATAAATTATTACTGTATTATACAACTTATTACGTACAGTATATACGTATTATGTCAGATCATGTGAG